TCCGTCAGTCCGTCCGTCCGTCCGTCCGTCCGTCCGTGGACACTTTTTTTGTTTACAAAACTTCTACACCCTTTAAGATAGAAAGCTGAAATTTCATACGTACATAGATCTTCACTAGAAACGTATTTCCGTAGAACAAAATTTTTACCTATCTCCCCCCTCTAGAAGTTATACCCCCCCAAAACCCTAAAAATGGCCTTTTTTAAATATTTGTTGCAATGAAACCATAAGCATTTTTGAAATTTTGCAAACGCAGAAAGGCTTGCTCCCCCAGGCGCGATATACTATAGTTAAACTTTAGAAAAACAAAATGGCCGTTAAAATTTACCGTTATCTAAAGTCCTTTTTTTCCAAATTTGTGATGTCATTTTTCTTCTAGACCCCAGCCTGTAGAAGCTTGAAATTTTAGGAGATTTTAGACATTAACAAATAGTTCATTTCGTTAGAAGAAAATTTTTTTCCCTCTCCACCCCCTCTCAAGTTATCACCTCTTGAAATTCGTAAAATTTGAATTTTTGACACCTTATATTTCCGAAACCGCAAGCTTTTCCAAATTTTTATAAACGCAAAAAGCTAACGGTGAATTCCAAGAAATTAAAAAATATAATTATTTTTCTTAACTCACACAATTAACCCTTAAAATCGAGCATTATGTTAACCCCTTTTTATATTAATTTTTGCTTTATTTCAAACACTGCATATATGCGTCATCCTAAATATATGCAATTCTAGAAATAGTTTTGAATATGAATGAAAATAATTTTAATAGTTTGATAGGTATACAAAGACGTTATTTAAAAGCAGATTTTTCACTTGTTGAAGGGAAAAGTGCTACAATACAAACCATTGGTTTGACCCAACTTTATTTTTTTTGCAATTTTGAATAGAGCAGAGCTTAGTTAATAACGTAGTACTTTTAAATAACGTGTTGGTATAATTTGGTTTGTTTGTACGCATTTTGTACAAGCTAATAAACTTTAGGAACCACAGATAATGTAAAAAAATTTTGAAATTTTTTGAGGCAGCAGCGAAAATTAAGAAAGGACTGATCTGCCATGGAATAGAGCCATTTTTCACCTGTGGAAAATACACAAAAAGTCAAGAAATAGAAAATGATCGAACAAAAACATTGAAAAAATTCTTTTATTTATAGGCAACTATAAAAGATATTAATAAGACTGAAATATTCAAATCAATAGCTACTGTTTGTTGTCTTTCATTTAGGTCTTGGCATAATAATACAAATTTGTTTCATTAAGTTTCTGGTTATTTGGCATCGATTTCATTTTACCTTTTTAGCATATTTTGGTCTTTTTTAACCTTTTTAGCCTTTTTCGAAATTTTTCCGTTTTTTTTCATTTATATTCATAGTTTTTTATAATTTTTCAACTCTGCAATAAAAACAAACTATAGAACACATTTCCTAATGCTAAAATTTTTAAATAAAAGTTAGTAATGTTGGCAACATTTTTTAATTATCAACATACAATCTCATCAAAAAATAAATTACGAAACCACTAGCCAATTCTAGAATTTTAAATTTCAAAATTTACTTTTCTGAAGCTACAAACTTTTTGTATAAGTTGCCACTTTATGTGACACATCTAGTCGGATAAGTCTGAGTAAGTTTTTTATTCCTGTTCCTAGAATATTTTGATTTTTGTTTTATTTTATTTATTTCTGTTCTGTTTATGTATTTTTTTTTTTAATAATAAAATAAAGTCATTTTTTTAAGTGTTTTAAGAACCTAGATTTACTACATCATTTTCTAGGAGCTAAAAATCACAGCCTTGGTTAGTGGAAAGGGTGAAATATTTTATGTCAAAATTTTGATCTATGCCGGTGGTTCTTAACCTTTTTTAACAATTACTCGTAATATTTTCAATACAATTTCAAACTATATTTTCAATTTTTTAGTAAGTGCGTGATAGCATTAACTATCATGCTAGTGTGACTAAGGTATACTGGACCAATTTTAAGTCAAAAAAAAGAAAAATGGAGTAAACAAAATAATCATAGGTCTAATGAAAACTTTATTTTAGAAATACTCAAACTATTTTTGACAATATTTACATACATATTTACGTAGAGTTTATAAAATTTTCATTTTCAGCTTGGTGCGTAGCATAAAAATAAAACGTGTATGAATTTATGTAACATTGCATCTTTAAACTTAATAGGGCAAAATAAATAAAACCAATTTCAAATATTGGAATTGTAATCATATTTGGAAATATAAAATTTTACAAATTTTATATAAATATTAGTTATTACAAATTTATTAGAGCTCTCCTTAAATTTCGGAAAAATTTTCGAGATAGAAAAAGTTCTAGTTAGAGAGACAACTGTACCAACTGTACGTTTTTCTAATATGTCGAAATACTAAGTAAGCAAAAAAAGTCAGAGTTATTGGAAAGTTCACCTTTTACACAATTCGAGATAGAGATAAGTTTGACTCTACTTGTAACTAGATTTAAATATAAATGAAAATAAAAAGACAAAAAATTAAAATTAATTATGTAAGTATATTATTTAATCAAAGTTAAATTTTAAATAATAGTAGTGAAATTCAAGTGAATTTTAAAATTTAGTCTTTCTTAAATTTTTAGTCTTACTTCAAATTGCCACTGCAGAATGTGCAATATTTAATAATGTCAACATGAGAGTCAAAAAAAATGTTTTGTTTTATTTACAAATCAGTATTTGTTGCGTGTCAGCCTAGCCAGTGAATTTGCTAATATGTAATTAAAGAAAATAATTTTAATCCAAAGCCAACTCTAAATGTATAGAATTTTGAACTTTTGACTTGCTTACTATATTTTTAACAATTTTAAAATTATTAAAATTGAAGGTATTTACCTAAGTTTTTACAACAAAATTTATGTTGTTAAAACAAAAAAGAAAATCTGTAAGGCTTTTCAAGAATTTTTGCATTATTTTTCTGGATTAATTTCGGAATCAAATTTTAACAGGACAGATTTTTTACGGAAATTTTATTTAACGATACTTAATTATGGCAGAAAAAGTTCTGGAAAAGTTTTTTGGAGCCCAAAAAAATGCTAATGTTAAACTTTCCAGTGTTATCTTAAGCGAGCTCTTTTGGATGCGTTATGTCTTATATCTATATTCTATATAGTCCTTCTAGAAGTACACATACTTTTTAAAACATCAGTTACTTAGTCGGAACATGTCATTATATCCATTTACATACTATGTATTTCGATTTATCCATTTATGAAATTCGATTTTATCCAGTTCTGTTGGGTTTGATATTCATATTTATAAAATTATTTCTTCGATTTTCCTTTTTATGCAAAAAATGGAGGTATAATTATATCATTACTTCATAACTTTCTGCAATATGTACAAAGAAATCTGTTGCATGATGCTCATAGTTATCATATACATATGTACGTATTAAGTATGTATAATAACATGTAGGTGTGTAGTTGTATGACGACCTAAATGCATATGTTTTACTGGTAATAAGGAGGAAAATAAAATTTTGTATTTCCTTAAATATGTTATTGTGTTATATACATATGTTGTATTATTGCTATATTTTTGAAAATCAGTATAATTTTCAATTATGTGATACAAAAAAATTTGTATTTGAAAAACGTTAAAAAATTTGAAATTTCTTTTGTTTACATTTCCGAACTCAAATTCATATGTACAAACATGTAAACATAAATTTGTCATAATATGCACACTTAGATATATAGCTCCGCCTTTTCAAGTTTGTTCAACTAAAATAAAATACCCAAAAAAGAGAAAATGATTTTTGCAGAAACATGGCGTTACGGAGAATATTTTTCTCTCTCAGAAGTTAAAATATTAAAACCAAAGTATATCTATAATCTATTCAAGATGATAGCGATATACTTAGTTTAATTAAAACATGGTTTCTGCAAACTAAAACATTGTGAAGAAATGGTTTTTGGCAGAATATTTAGTATTATTTCATGTTATGAACATATGTACGCATGTATTTGTGTGAATATGCATATGATTTATTTTATCATGGGTTTTAATATGGTTTATTTTATCTTGTTAGATAAAATAACCTGATGTTTAAATAAATTAAATTTTATTAAATATTTTACATAAATGTTAAAAATCACTTACCTATACTATTTTTTTGTATCACGCCGTTTGCTCCCAAAGTATTTTTTTATTTTTTGGAATTACACTAAATATAAAGCAAATTAACTGGAAAAGTATAAATAATTTGTACAATAGTGTATAATTTTAACAAAACTACAAAAAAAATGTGTACATATGCGTATATGTATAAGTATATGTATAAGGTACATTTCTTTACACAAGTACCTAATTAAAATTTCTTAATCTCATATTTTAGCGAATTGCCAAAACCGTTGTGTAGTTAAATAGTTTCAACAAAATTAATGGTAAAATTCCACATAATGTTACGATTTCAGCCAACTAAAATCTGTTTACCATTTTTTCTAGGAAATACATAAAAAATTGTTAAACTGAAAAAAAAATTTCAGTTAAAACAACATATTGTTACATAATGTGTAAATATAAACACACAACCTTACTTTAATGGGATTGGATATTGGATTATTGGAATAAAAATATTGTAGCACACACTTGAAAAACTTTTTCACAAATACAAATCCAAAATACTGGAAGATATTTCCAAAATACAAATATTTGTACTTCCAAAGCACTTATGTTCAACTGAAAATCAAAAATGCAGGGGTCTTTATTCGTTATATTCCTTAATATTCAATGGAAAAACAAATCGGATTGACTCTCAAAAGCTTTGCGTGATGTCGTTAGTGTAAATAAACATTGTGAATGTAATAGAAATGCTCATAGGTTCACACAAACACGAATTTATTTACTTACCAAATGTTTAACGAAAGATTTGAGTATATTCTTCAAAAGTATAAAAAATCAAAATAGTTTTTAGATTATAACCGAAACGTATAGTGTCACAACGTTGTTTTGATTTTGTTTTATACATTGATTAGTCCGAAGAAAAAGTAAAGTTAAAAAAAAAAATTTAATAAAAAATAATTTTTTTTGCTTCACGAAATTTATATTCAGTTTAAACGTGTTATGAATCTGATTCCTGCCATAATACTGCGGAAAAAAAAAATAAATTTAGTTGTATAAAAATATTTTGCGATTTAGACTTAGCGAGTAAAAATTATCGTTTATCCGACGGATTTTTTGTTTCTTGACTTGATCGGCGTTGTTAATTTTTAATATAATATAACGTATATCAATTATAAATTATGTAAACTTAGTGCATGTAAGCAATGTACTCAATGTGAAAAAAAATATCAAACTACTTATTAAATTAAATCTAAGAAATGTGGTAAAAGATATTTAGATATGTACATATGTGCTTTATTCTGTTGGATATTTTAAAATGAATTTTTCGAAAATTATTTCATTTTAAAAAATGTTTTAAAATATTCAAAATAATTTTATTTTTCGTAAGCGTGTACACAGTTAAACGTGTAATTTGTTGAGGCAATTATAACTACCTTAAATACTAAAAACAAACATTTCTAGAATAAGTTAAAGCTAAAAATGGAAATGGTTACTGAAGCAAAACATCTTCCATTGGATTATAGTATAAACATAAAATCTAGTTTGCATCACCTTAATCATCATAACATTCAATATCCAAATCACTTACATTCTGCAACGTCCAATAATCATATCTATAACAGTCTACAAAAACAGCATGATACTCGAAAAAGTGCCTCACCGTTACCAATAACTGCTTTGGATAATAGTAATCTTAAAACTGTTACTATTTCATCGACAACATCAGCACCAATGGAAATAACTAAAGACTCTATAAATATTCATTTAGGGTTATTAGATATATCAGCTATAACTTCTCAACAGTTAACATACCCAACTGTTGATTCACCTTATCAATCAGAAAGAACCAGTAATATAAATTACAATAAAAATTTCAATGCAAGAGCTGAAGATCATCCATTAAACTTTAATGGCCTTTGCGATTATTCTTCCAATAATGTCAACATTTGCAATGGAAAATACAGTAATTGTACTTATGATACTAATAATAGCGATAATAATAACAATATTCCTAACAATAGTAGTACATCGAATGTTGATAATCTGCATAATATAAAAGATAACAGTGGTAACAGTTATTATAATAATAGTGCTGACAACATTAATAATAATGATAATAATAACGAAATAAAAAATAATTACTTTAGTTATAATAACAGTAATAATCAAGGTTATGGTAAAAATAGTGAACACGAAGAAATTTCCAAAACGAAAAATAGTAATGATATTAAGTACGCTAATTTTAATAGGAATCAAACTAGTATATTAATGCAAAATAAAATAATTAACTTCACCCGTACCAATGACTGTAATGCTAATCGTTGCAATGGTACTGAAAAAATAGTCCATGAAATTGATATTAATTATAATATTAATAATGACAACAGTAATAATAGTAATGATAATAATGCCAACACCAATAATAAGAATACCAATAATAATAATAATTATAATAATAATAATAATGATAATAATAATAATAACAATAATCAAAATAATAATAGTAACAACGATAATGATAATAATAATAATAACAATAATAATCAAAATAATAATAGTAACAACGATAATGATAATAACAATAATAACAATAATAATCAAAATAATAATAGTAACAACGATAATAATAATAATAATAATAATAATAATAATAATAACAATAATAATCAAAATAATAATAGTAACAACGATAATAATAATAATAATAATAATAATAATAATAACAATAATAATAATAATAATAATAATAATAATAATAATAATAATAATAATAACAATAATAATAATAATAATAATATTAATATCAATAATAGTAATTATAACAATGATAGTAGCTATTATAAAAACAGTAATAGTGAAATTGAGAATGATGATGATTATAATAATAATATGATTGATAATTATAACAATTATATTCATAATTTTGACAATAGTAACAATAATCCAAATGACCACAATAATCATAGTAATGATAGCAATAATAACAACAAGGATAATTATAAGAGTATCAATAATAATAAAACTAATGATGAAAACAATAACAATAGTAACCGTAATAATAACAATAAAAATTATAATAATATTAGCAATAATAATCTTTGTAATAATAATAATAAGAATAATAATAATAATAATAATAATCATAATAATATTAATAATAAAAATAATAATAATAACAATAATAATAGTAATCATAATAGCAAAAATCATAATAATAATACTGATGATAATAATAATAATGATAATAACAGTAATAACAATAATATTCAAAATAATAATAGTAACAACGATAATGAAAATAATAATAATAACAATAATAATAATAGTAATAATAATATTAATAATAATAATAATAATAATAACAATAATAATAACAAAAATAACAATAATATTAATAATAATGTTAATATTGACAATAAAAATGATAATATTAGTAGTCGTAATGAACACAAAAATAATTGTAGTTATACTGATAGACAAAAAATAAGTAGCAAATTTGGAAACGACTTAAGGAATGTTAGTAACAATAATTGTAATAACCATAACTACTTTGTTAATAAATATTCTGGTAATAAGAATAACCAGAAATTTATTATCAGCACTAGCAATATTAAAAATGATAACATCAATAAAAATGACTATGATAATAAAACTGACAGTGATCGTAATGATGCCAATCATAATTGTTGTGATTGCAATACGCATTACAGTAATAATAAGTTGACCTATAATTGCAATATTAAAGTTGTTAATGAAAGTAATAAAACTGTGAATAACGAAAGTAGTGTTAGTGTGAAAGAAAATAATTGCAATAGTATCCATTTTAACTTATACAATAATAAAGACAATAACAACAAAAGGAAAAACATCAACGGAGGTTTAAACGATAACAGCGTAAACAAAGCTAGTAATTGCATTATAAATGAACTTAATTCTAATGCACTTAGTAACAGCTATCAAATATCTAGCGCCTTTAAAGTAGTGACACCAAAAATAAAGTCCGTCGGTAAGTTCAAAAATTATATTCAAAATCTTTAACGAATTTAAACTAGTATAGTTTTAATAGGTTTTAATAATAATAATAATAATAATAATAATAATAATAATAATAATAATAATAATAATAATAGGAAATGTGGTTATTTCCATCCCACCAGCTTGTAAATTCTGAAATAGCATTTTAGTTTTAATAGGTAGGCTAATAGGTTCTATTCAATAGATCTGTTTAGAAAAAAATAAATACATAAAAAATAATGAGAAAATACCAATCGTCGATACGGCAGTTATATTACTAATAAAGGTAAGTCTAAATGAAATTCTGTGGTGGTGGTCAGAAGTGTAAGTAGGATAGTAATATAGGTTAAGTGGGTTAGGTTAGAATAAGATATAATTTAAGTTTTATTAAAGAATAATGATGTATTGAATTTTTTTAAATCCTTTCAATAAATGATACAAATTTATAAAAAATTATGAATAAAAGAGAATAATAAATTAATATTGATTAAAATAATAAAAAAACTGCAGTAAAATAATAACTTACAGAATCCTAGACTAGGACAGCAAGAAATGGTAAAAATTAAGTTTTTTTTAATATTTTTTTGTAAATACGAGTATATAAATATTATGTAAAATTATGAAAAAAAAGAACTAGAAAAATAGAATTGGATGAATTATATACATAATTAAATCACTGCGTTATTGGTTTATTTCAAGATAAAAAAATGCAGGATAGATTTTTTTTAAATTATTTTAATGAAACATTTTACATTTAAAAATTTGAAACATTAAAATACATACTACTTACTTATAAAAAGTTGGAATACATTTTCATAAACGCAATACTGCGAAACAATAATGTGATATGTATATTTTTGGAAATTGTTCAAAATCTTCGGTTATTTTGAAATCACAGCATTGTGTTTATAAAAAATGGTTTATACACTTCTGCTTTTCCGCATTTAAAAACTTTTGTATCCTAGTAATTCCGTAAATATTAAGAAGTAAATTTTAATAAATTTCTAAAAATGCAGGATGAAAATTATATTTTCTTGCTATTAATACATCAATTGGTTCAGACATTTTAAAGATGTAAAACAAAACAAAAAGCTGTTTATTTTTTCAGCTGATTATTTTTTGTTAAGTTTAAAATTGTTTATGATCACACTGAAAGTGCAAAATTTATTTATGAACATAAATATAGCGCGGTTTACGCTATATATCGCGATACAAAATTGATGTTAAATAAAATATATGTACATGATATAATATGCACGTATTAAAAATTCCAACAAAGCTAAGTATTTAAATCGAACCTTTTTGTACTGAACTGATTCTAATGCATGTAAATGCTCGAAAAACTTCCGCAAAAAATTTGAATTGAATTAATTTAACTCAAAATAAGAAATTTAAGACAACAGCAATCAGAAAAATGTCAAAACAGACAGAACATTTTTGTCTGCGAAATACCGCGGCATTAAAGAAAATATTAGTAATTTTATTTGGTTTACTGATATGCAGTGATGCCAATAAGTTCTAACTAACATGTTGGCCGAATACTATTTATTTTTGAAACAAACATTTTTGGCAGAGAAGTAATTACTTTTCTATCAAATTGCAAATGAAATTCCAAGTAAAAATTAGATTTTTAAAAATGCATAAGTACATTTATAATTTTACATTATAAATTTATCTTCAATACTCATCTCATAAATTTGTACACTTCATTTTATGTCTTTAATATCGCATACACAATTATATATAGATATAATATACATATATGTTACATACATGTATATATATATACATATCCTTTCTGATTTAATTGGAAAATAATAAAAAGGAACTCCCAAGTAGTTTCTGTTTTAAATTTATTTACTTTATAAAAAACTTAAAGAAACAGACTAATTAAAGAAGAAAAGCATAATTATAAAACTACTTGAAATCAATTAATTTTTAGCTTTTTAAAGTATAAAGAACTTAATTTTATGTCTAAATATACAAATTAAAATGCTAAATTTATTTTTCTTGTATTTACAATAAATTGCAAAAACAATCTTATTGCTTTCATTCTGCCAGTTCAGTTTGATCAATTCCATTTGTATGTTTATAAAAATCTCACTACTTATTTTCAAGGAACAAAGTTGAAACTGGTTTCTCTAAAGTTTTTATTTATATCCAATGTAAAAGTAAAGACCGCCAGAAAGTCCTAGAAATATTAGTTTTTTTAACTATAGTTTTTATTTTTAGCTGCGATAAGAAATATGAAACAAAAACCACATAAACTCAACACCTGTATGAAATGTATCAAATCACTGGTTTCATGCGAATTCATTTTTTCTTTTATAAAATTTTACTTCTTTAAATTTTTAATAATCGATCTAACAACTTTTTTATTTCTAATTGAAATAAACATAAGATTATATGTTTCCGATATTTTGCTGTTTTAATCTCATTAAAAGGCAAATATCGGAAAATGAATTACTTACTGGTGCACACATTTCTATATAAATACAAAATATGTAATTTTATAATTGGTTACATGATCTAAGGTTCTTTTTCGGATCTTTACTGAAACATTAAGCGGGTTATAGTTTAGGGTTGTATTATTTGATGAAAAATCTGATGTGGTCAGCACATAACCGAACGCAATGTGTATTATCTAGTTAAGTGAAAGTGTTACAGAATATTATGAAAATGTCTGCTAAATACTTCTTTCCAATTTTTAGGACATTAGTAAGCTTATAGTTAACATACCTAGAAAAATGTAAATTCGGCTCTTAGTAGAGTTTCGCTTTGTGCTACCCGAATTCCCTGAAATGCTCACCAGTTAGTTTCGGTAACAACCAGAACTCAAATATCAAATTTCAAGAAATTCCATCAATTCGTTCCGTAGATATGGCGAAAAATGTAAAATCAGCGCGTAGATCAGTTTTCGAGCCCTGATCTTTCCAAAAACTTTCCATGTTCATTGTTTTAATACGAGGAATTCAAATATTAAATTTCAATGAAATCGGTTGATTATTTCTCTTTATATACACAAAAATGTATATTTGGCCCGTAGTAAACGTCCAGTTGCTGATGCCTGATTTGTTCCAAAAGTTAGGGATTTTCGTGGACGGTCGAGGAAAGCTCAAATATGCAATTTCAAGTAAATCGGTTGAATATTTTCTGCAGAATGGTGAAAAATGTAAAATCGGCCCGCAAATCAGTTTTCGAGCCCTGATCTTTCCAAAAAAATTTATATGTTCATAGTTTTCATACGAGGAATTCATATATTAAATTTCAATGAAATCGGTTGATTATTTCTCTTTATATACACAAAAATGTATATTTGGCCCGTAGTAAACGTCCAGTTGCTGACGCCTGATTTCTTCCAAAAGTTAGGAGGTTTCATCGCCGGTAGAACAAAACTTATATATGAAATTTCAGGTAAATCGGTTGAATATGTTCTTCAAAATGCTCAAAAATGTAAAACAGGCCCGCTAAAAAGTGCAGTTCCCGAGGCCTGATATTTACCAAAAGTTGATCGATCCGTGCCATGGTGGAAATAAACTTACATATAAAATTTCATCAAAATCGGTTCAGCCGAACTTGAGATACACAAGTGCACACACAGACCGACAGACCGACAGACCGACAGGTTGCTAAAAATAGTTTATTTACACTTCCCTACTATGGAGAAGTACGTTCCCACCGAAAACTCGATATGCAAAATTTGTTGCCATCACATAACCTACCTATTGTTTACACAATACGTTCGGTAAAAAGGGTACTGTTTCTTTGTTAAATACGTATTTAAAAAAAAAATTATATACAATATGTATGAAATTATCATAAGAAAATTTCTGTATTCCATGTAAGGGAATGTACAACTCCTAACTACATTAGCGTATATAAAGTATTATTTAAAAAAATATTATTTAAAAAAAAAACTAATTTAAAATAATACTTAAATTCTTAAATATTCTTAAAAGCTTAAGAGTTTTTCCATAACTTTTTTCTATAAAAAGATTAATAGGACATATAATATATCGTCGGTATCCGGGCAGAAGTAACCAAGTGAAAAAAGTTACTTTTGAGTAATTAGCAAAGCTGAAAAAAATTTGGAAAATAACAAGGTACTAGAATGGTGTTTATTGATTTTAATCCTTCAGAGAAAGTACTTTGGAAAAAAAAATTTGTAGGTTTAGTTTCCTTTAAAAAAAGAGGGTTTTTTGGGGGATAGTTTTTTTTGCCTAGAAATATTCGTCAACATTCGATGCATTATAAAGCTCTATACCATGGTAAATTTCTTATGAAGAAAAGATTTGAAAGGGCTAGAGCCAATTAAAAATAAAAATAATAATAAAGTATGTAAGTTTATGTTTACTTTATATTTATTTTGAATTATGAAACTTTATTTAAGAAAAATTATGTTACGTATTAAATCAAGTATTCTTTTCTTCATTTATTTTATGAAAATTTAAGAAAAAATAACAAATCCAAACATAAATTAACAAATTTTACATAACTAAACAATATATGTATGTACATAAATAATAAATAAATTAAAAGTTTTCTACTTTAATTTTCTTCGAAAATTTTTTTCATTTCATTAAAAATAAAATAACACTAATTAACAAAAAAATAAAATTTTATCAGGTAGTTTCAAAATTTATTAAATTGCTGAATTTTTTTTAAATCTAAATTTGCTCAGAATCATTATTTTGAATCAGATTCATAACCAGGCTCAGGTGCTGTGTCATTCTTTCAATTACTTGTCGGTAAACTTCGATACCATGCATGATACTCAGGCTGAATCGCACCTTTCTCGCATAGTGTTTCTAAGTCCTTTTTTTGGAACAGCTTATAGATAACATATTTCTGAATTATACAACGCATTAAATATTTGCAGCATACAAGATTTTTTATTTTTTTCATCTAGTTTTAAGACCAGTAACATCAATCTTATCAAATTCATCAGAATAGTTGTATCTATATAATATAATATTTGGATTTTCCTTTTCA